GCTGAATGAATCTTGCTGAGAGCTCAGTCTGGGAGGCCAGTCCTCCCCAGTCATCCCTGGTCATCCCTGATGGCGATGGTGATGAGAATATTTTGAAACTCATTTTTTTTCTCTTCTGGGAGATTACAGCAGAAGCCAAAAAGAGGCCCTCAAATTTCAAATACTATGAGATAAGCCCAGACCAAGAGAATACACAAGAGAAGAGCCAGAGGCAGGCCATGGTCACAGAAGGTAGCAAGCATCCCTGACCAGAGGGAGAGAGATGACTGCTCAGGGGCCTTGTATCTCTGAGCCAGGGGCCACATGTCTCATCTGGGAGAGGAAGAACTCAAGAATTGCAGGATTTGTGTTTCTTTCCAGGGAGAACTCCTAATAGAAACAGCCAACATTGATTGAGAATTTACTGTACCCCTGGTGCCGGGCAAAGGACTTCATATGCATCATCTCATTAAATATTCATAAAGGTAGATAGTGTTGTCACCGCATTTTATAGGTGAGGAAACTGAGGCTCAGAGAGGTGAAGCAACTTGCCTCAAGTCACACAGTCAGAAAGGGGCAGAATGGGTCTCAAATCCCAGAAGTTGGGCTCCAGATCTGGGGCTCTCACATTCCGGGCTATGCTGCTGCCAAGGAGGTGACAGGATCCAGAGGAAAGTGACTGCCATTGGGTCTGACCTTGTGGCAGGCTCCACCGGCACAGGGTGACCTGGCAGTAACCCAAAGACCAAAGGACATGAAGGGGGCACTCAACCCAAGGGTACCCAGGAGATGGCACAACAAACCTCTGCTTGGACCCCAACAGAGACCAGGCAGGATTGGGGACCCCCGAGAATATGAGCATGGACAAGTGACACTCCCTGCCCCAAGGTTACCTGCCACCCTTGGACTGACTTGACAAGGATGGAGCTTCCCCTACCCAGTGATGCAGAGCTCCAAATAGAGATGATGTTGAATGAAGTAAAAGCCTACTGAGCTACTGTATCCTTGCCCAGGTGAGCTACCCCACGTCTTCATATGTTGTAGCTGGGCAGCAGGCTGTGAGTGGTGCTTGAGTGGTCTCACTTGTCCTCCCAGCCACCCCTTAACATACTGTTCTTCTGTCCACTTTTCAGAAGGGAAAACTGAGCCTTTCTCATCAACAGCCAAGTGGCAAGTAAGTGCTGGGGCCGGGATGTGAACTCAGGTCCACCTGATTCCCACATCAGTATTCTTTAGCCCCATGGTGCGCCATGGTGACCCCTGCCTGGGATTATCAGGCTACGTGGACAGATACCTGGAGAAGACACTCCACTGCCAGATAGAGAGGCGAGTGACCTCCTAACCTGAAAACCATTGGTTTAAATCCATCATTTGGCTCAGCCAATGTTATCCAAGCACTAGACACCCAGGGGAGTCAAAGATGGATGAGAGGGTGAGGCCTGGGGGAGAAAAAGCAGGTGGGAGGTGAGAGAACTGTCCACAGGAGAGGTGACAAGGCCTGAGCCAGGGCAGTGGCCAGGAAGACAGGAGGATGGCCTGAGAAGCTGAGGCAACAGGACGGATGGGACCTGCTGCCTGGGGGTGAAGGACTCCCCAGGGCCATAGATGACCTACTGGCTGGGTGGTAATGTCTTCAACAGGACAGGTGGGCAGGGGAGGGAAGAGCTGAGTTTCAGGCAGCTTTGGAGTTGAGACGCCGTGAGCCCTTGGAGAGGAGATCAGGAGCCCATCAGATGTTGGTTTGGTGTCACTGGGGGGCAGGTTGGAGACGGTGCTGCTGGAAGTGACGGGGCAGCCCTGTAGGTTGTGCCACAAAGTGTGAGAGGAAGCAAAGAATGGAGACTGTGTCCTAGGAAACACCAACGTTTCAGGGTAGGGAAAGCCCCTTGTGCATCCATGCATTCATCCATTCAACAGACATGTATTGAGCACCTACTATGTGCCAGGCACTGTTCTAGGCCCTGGGGACCCAGTAGTGAACAAAACAGATATGGCTCCTCCCTTATTGGGGCTCACAGACCAAAAGGGATGCTTTTAAGAACAGGTGGTGGTAGGTGTTAAGGGAGGAAACCAAAGCTGAGTAAAGGGACAGAGAGTGGCAGAAGGATTGTGGCTATTTTAATTGGGGTGGACAGGCAGGGCCTTTCTGAGGAGGTGACATTTAAGCACTAGACCTGAGGTGGGTCAGGAGTGAGCCACAGAAGTGTCTGAGTGAGGGGTGTTCCACGCTGTAAGGATTTTTGTTCAATAAGAGAATAACTAAAGAGAATGGGAGTCCCAGGAGGGTTTTGAGGAGAGGATCTAGCTTAGGCTTTAACGGGACCCCTCTGTCTGCTGAGTGCAGAATGAACTACGGGGGTCAGGGTGGAAATGGAGCCCAGGGCAGCGGCCATGACGACCATACAGGTAGGAGATGGAGGTGGCTGGTCCTGGGTGGAGGTAGGGAAAGAGCAGCTGAGGACTGGCTGATGGAGACTGTTTCTAGAAGGATGATATTGGTCAGCAATATTAAATTTGCCAAGAAGTCAAGTAAGATGAAGACTGAGCCGTGGCCATTGGAAGTGGGAAGTGGGAAGTGGGAGGCTGCTTAGGGAAAGGAGGGAGTGGAGGCAGAGCTCGTGGATTTCTGAGAGCCAGGCCAGACGTCAGAGGGTGTGGGGCTGGAGAAGGGGCTTGTTCTTCTTCCCTCATTCTCTGCTTTCTCTTTCTTTTTTAACATGGGAGATACTTGGATGCGATTAAAGACTGAGGGGAAGGAACCGCAGAGAGGGAGGTGTTGTTAGAGACACAGGAGGGCATGGTTGGTTTGAGGAGGTTGAGGGGCTGCAAGGGATGGGACCCGCAGGTAGGGAAGAGTGGCCTTGGCTCATGGAGGAACACTTCCCTCTGAGCCAGAGAAAGGCACTGGGGACTGGTGGATGCACGGGTGAATCTGCAAGTGTGGGGCAGGCCCCATTTCTCTTTGAAGTAGGAGGTCCATGGTCTGGTGAGAGGATGGGCAGGGGGTGAACATGGAGGCCTGAGGAGGAGGTGAGGTTTGGCAGGACGCTTATGGGACTGGAAACAGCTGCCTGAAGAGACACACACAGATTTCAAGGCAGCATGGAGCCCCCTGGGTTGGGCTTTGGTGTATGAGGCCAAGAGCTCCCTTGAAGGGGGATCCAGGGGTGGGATGGTGGCAGCTGGAAGTGCTGCAGGGCAGGAGGGCTGGAGGGCAAGTAGGCAGGGACTATGGGAAGATGGTGAGTGGGGGGCTAGGGAGATAGATGGCCAGGGCAGGAATGAAACAGGAGGTTAAGTGTGTATTCGAGTGTGTGCACAAATCAGCTTGACTAGATACATATAAAGCAACCTCTCCACCTGGGGGATGGACCAACCCAGGGTATGCAGAAGGCAATCCTTTGGAAAACAGGAGGAAACCACCAGAACTTCAGTTTACATGATGTCATATCTTATCTTCTTCTTTTTTTTTTTTTGCTGTACGCGGGCCTCTCACTGTTGCAGCCTCTCCCGTTGTGGAGCACAGGCTCCGGACGCACAGGCTCAGCGGCCATGGCTCACGGGCCCAGCTGCTCCGCGGCATGTGGGATCCTCCCGGACCGGGGCATGAACCCGTGTCCCCTGCATCGGCAGGTGGACTCTCAACCACTGCGCCACCAGGGAAGCCCCATATCTTATCTTCTTAAAGTTCCATTTTCATTTGTCTCATACCCTGTACACATTATATTAATATGGGTGCACGTGCGTAAATTCTAAATAAATTATGCGTGCATTGGGGGAGCAAAGCATTGTTTGCTGATCGGGCAAATGATCTGAAAAATTTGGAAACCATGGGTAAAGAGACACTGCTCCCCATCTTGGACACCACAGGATGACTTTCCCACCCCCAGGGCCAAACCTGCCTTGTTCACCTCTGTTCACCTCTGTACGTCAGTGTCTTGCCTAGGGCCTGGCACATGGAGGGTGTTCAGAGTGTCTGCTGAAAGTATGAGGACAGAAGACCCTAGAGTGGCCCTGGCCTTGGGCCAAAATGGCAGTGGGGTCCTCAACTCCTTGATCTCTGCCACGCCATATTCAATTCATCATCAGAGCCCATTCGCACCCTCTTCAGAATATACTAGAACCTGACGGCCACACTCCCTATCCCAGCCCTGTCCTGCTCCACACTCCATCACCTCTTGCCTGGTGGCTGCCGTGGTCTCTTCCTTGGGCTCCCAGCATCGAATCTTCTCCTACAGTCTATTCTGTTAAAACTGAATCAGGTGTTTCTCACCTGCTCAAAACCCTGCAATGGCTCCCGTGACACTCAGAGAAAGAGCCAAAATCCTTCCCAGTGGCCTCCAAGGCCCGACATGGTCTGCCCTCCCCTCATCTCTCAGATTTTGTCCCTCACCCCTCTGTCCTCCTCCTTTCTGCTCCAGCCACACTGGCTGCCCTGCTGTTCCTCAGGTAACCCAACTACATTCCCACCACACAGCCTTTGTACTTACTGATCCCTTTGCCACGAATGCCCTCCCACCAGATACCTTCCTGGGTTGCCTCATCACTTTGCTTGTTCTCTGGGCTCAAACTTCACCTCCTCCGAGAAGTCCTCTCGGATTATCTGACCTCAAATAGTCACCTCTGGTCATTCCTTGCCTTCTTCCCTTTTTCATTTTGCTTCACCATCTGACAGAATAGATATTTATTGTTCATCTCTTTATTGCCTCTTTCTTCCACTAGTCCAGATGGGGACGTATGGTTCTGTTTACTGTTGTATCCCCAGAGCCTAGGATGGGCCTGGCCCTTAATCAGATGAATGAATGAATGGCAGTTAGGGAATCAGGTTTCCAGCTCTGACTCCGCCCAGTCTTGCTGTGTGGCCTCAGGCTCCTCTCTTTCTGGGCCTCATCATCCCAACTGGTACAATTCGGAGACAAAGGACCTATCAGCCTGGCCATCTGTGTCCAGGGCAGGCCTCTGGGGTAGATGTTTCACCTGCTGCTCACTGCGCACCACCCCCCTGCAGGCCCAACCCTTACCTTCTGCAGCCACTGTGTGTTGTTCTCTAGCATTTTTTCCAGCTGTCGTACCCGCTGGGTCGGCCAGTCCCCTAGGTTCAGTGCGGCTGCCGGGGAGTCCCTCTGGAGGCTGTTGGAGCCCCTGAAGGCCTCGGGCTCAGGCGGGCAGGGCTCAGGCTCGGGCAGCACGAAGGTGTAGCTGCACTGGCCATGCTGGACTCGGTGTGCCCGGCGGCGCCCGCCGGCCTCCTGCCCCCTCCGCTGGGCCACAGTCGTGGTGGCCACAATGAGGAGGAGGCCACTCACCAGCATGGCTGGCCGGTAAGGCATCCAGGGATGTGATGGTGAGGGGTGTCAGGTCAGAGCCCAGGGGCCTTGCCTGTCCACCGCCTGTCTCCCTGCCCAGTTTGCACCCACCGTGGCCAACAGTGGCCAGTCCCGCCTGCACAGCCGCTGCAGCTGCAAAGCCCTGTTTGGCCAAGCTCCGTCCAGGCGGTTATTTATACTTGCTCCAAATACCACAGCTGCTCTGCTTCCTCCCACCGCCTCAGGCTCCCGCCTCAGACACCCCCTCACCTCTCTTCTTCCCCCTTTCCCTTCCTGCCTCCTCACTCTTGTCCGCACACAGCCGTGTCCCTGCACTGGCTTGCCTGCCTCGCCTCTGAGTCCTTGGATTATCCAGGGGAGGCCTGGCCTCCCTGCCTGAGCGGAGGAAAGAAAACAACACACACACAAACCCCCAAGCTGCCCGCTTTGGAAAACCGAAGGCAACTGAATTCTCTCTTCCTGTCTCTGTCTCTCTGTGTCTCTCTCTCCAACCTCCCCCCACAGGGAGGCTGGGATCTCAAATTTCAGCCCCCAACGCCTTCCCCTTCTCTCCGCGCTCCACCTTCCCCGCTTTGATTCCCAGTTAGCCTTGGAACACAGTGAAGTGACCTTACAGGGAGCAAAGGGGAGGGGGGCAGATGGGTGAGGCTGAGGACGAGGCAGCCAGTTCAATCTGTTTCTAGAGACAGAGAACATCCTTGCAAAGCCAGGGAAGTGGGCGCCCCAGCCGGAGTGGCTCCCGTCCTCCTTTCTCCCTCAGGGCCCGGAGGGACATTGGGCCTTAAGGCGGCCCTGGCTCCGTTGCTGTGACAGTAATGAGAGATTGTCCTGTCTTGGGGCAGATTGTTCTGGGGCCGCCTTTGGCTGGAGTGGAGAAGTAGATTTTGGGGAGAAGAGCTCGGGGTGCAGCAGTGTCTTGACCAGCTCCAGCTGTGGCTCTAAGTCCTCCTGCCCCAACTGCTGGCCTTGAGACCTTGGGTGGGCAACGTCACCGCCCTCGGCTTCCATACCCTGGTGTGTAAGCTGGGTAAACCCCATCTCTTGCATGAGGAATGTATATGAGTTCTGCGCGTGGGGATTGAGGAATTTTTGATTTACTTGTTAACTTGTTTACTGATTCATATCCTGGCTCCACCACTTATCAGCTGTGTGACTTCGGGCAAGTCGCTTAACCTCTCTGTGCTTCCATTTCCTCTTGGTGAACAGAGAGAAATAATACCATGCACTTCACAGGGTGTGAAAATTGAGTTACAGCAATGCTGGCACAAGGTAAGTGCTAAATAAATGTTTTTGGTTGTTGTTATCAGTGTCACAGTTATTATGTACCTCCCCTCCCCCACCCTGCTGGAATGTAAACACCACAGGGGCAAGGATTTGTCCTTGGGGGACCTGGTTGCTGGACAGAAGGTGCCCAGGAGTTGGTTGGGCCCTTCCTGTGTGGGCTGCCTTCTGGCTTTCTCTGCTTGTTTTCCCAGAGTGGGGGCTTATCCGGCTGTTTGGTATTGTTTTTTTCCCTTTGTCTTCCCAAATCCTGACGGCGTTTTGAAGTGGGCAGGCTGCTTGGGACAGCAGCAAAGTAGGGGCTCATCTGGGGGACTGAGAACTTGAAACCAGGTGTGTGAGGCTTTGGCAGGAAAAGGAAAGGCAGCTGGTCATCAGCCACCAGCATTCACGGAGCCCTGCTTGCCCACCTCTGCCTCCAGTGTCTCCACTGTAAAGGGGGTCACACCACCTCTGCCCTTGCAAGAAAGAAGAATGTTAATGTAAGTCACGAGCTTATCACAGCGCTGGGCGCAGATGAGCCCAGAGAAGGGCAGCTATCGTTAAGACTGTGTAGGTTGAGCCTCCAGATAATCTCAGTAAGGCCAGCATTATTATCCTCCCCATTTTACAGAGGAGAAAACTGAAACTCAGAGAAGGAAAGTGAATTGTCCAAAGTCACACAGCCTGGAGGGGCTTGACCCGGAAGTGGCAAAGCCAGGCAGGCTCAACAGCCATGCTGGACCCAGAGCCCATCCCACTTCCTCCCACGTACCTGTCAAGGCAGTGTGTGAGGACGCCTGCCCCTCAGCCCCAGCCTCTTCATCTGTGCACTGGAGGGAGCGTTAACACCTCCTCTTGGGCACCAGTATGACAAGGGAAGCTCCTGGCACAGGCAATGCATTTAATCCTATTGATTGAAAGAAAGAATGAATGTTAATTTCTACCCCCCCCCCGCCCCGCAGGGCTTAATTAAATAGACATGGGCCCCATAATTGCACTAACACAGAATGGCTCTCTGAACAGAAGAGGAAATAGGATTGTCTGTTCACAGGAGAAATGCAGATAGAATCAAAAGAAGAGTTCTGGAAAGCCTGGGAGATGGCCCTGCCAACCTCTGCACCTTCATTGTAGCACCTCCTTCTCACCTCAGGACCTTTGCATATGCTGCTTTCTCTGTCCAGAACACTGCTGTCCACGTGCCCTCACCCCCACCTTTCATCAGTGTTCCAGTTACTATGGCTGCCAGAAAATGACCCCAACACTTAGTGGTTTAAAACAAAAATAACCATGTAATATCTCTCAGAGTTTCTGTGGGTCAGGAATTCAGGAGCAGCTCAGCTGGACAGTCTGTTCCATTCTCTCATGAAGTTGAAATCAGATGGTGGCTCTGAGCCGAGGTCATCCTGAAGGCTTCTCTCACCTGTCGGTACCTGGGCATCCTCCTCACTCCACACGGTGGTGTCTCCAGCGTGGTGGCTGCAAAGGCACATGTCCTCAGAGAGCCATGTGGAAGTTACATCGCCTTTTATGACCTAGCCTCGGAAGGCATTCAGTGGAAGCTCTACCTTATGCTATTGGTTGGGGTCTGCCCAGGTTCAAGACAGGAATGTAGACACCATCCCTTGATGGAGGAGCGTCATTGTCACAAGAGGAGCTTGCAGGATTGGGAAGTGCGTTAGTGTAGCCGCCTCTGGGAAATGCTACAGGCCGGCGAACTGACACATAATTACACGGCCCCCTCAGCCCTGTTCAAATCAGACCCACCCCTCTTGGAGCCCTACCCCTTTATCTTAACCCTCCTTAAGGTGCTCAGAGGTTAATTACTTGTGTAATTACGTATCTCCCTCTGTTCCCAGCATTTGATATACAGTATGTTCTCAGTAAATAAATATCTGTCAGATGAATGAATGAATGAATGAATGAATGCTTGAGCCAGGCTATCTCTGTGGGACTGATGAGGGGCAGGAGGTGGGATGCCGTGGAGCTGCCATGGGGCTGTGGCACCAGGGCAAGTCCCAGCTGGCACAACACTGGGAGGCCTCTGGCAGATCACCCTTTGGGGCCAAAGCTAATTCCTCCTCAGTCGGAGGGCGTAGGGCGCAGACAGGCTCCGCCAGGTGTCCTGGGATCTCGCAGAGGAGAGCTCTAGGGAAAGTTTACAAACCATCAGGCTGAGAAGCTTTGAACACAGGGCCTCGGGGCCAGTGTCGGAGGCAGTCTGGGCATAGGTCTAGCCAGGAGACGGAGGTTTCACAAAGTGGCCTCTTGGCATTCTGGGAAATGGGAACCAGCCAGTCCCACGAGAAGCAGCAAGTGCCCAGGTGGCAGCAGGCAGGGGGAGCTGGTGCCTAGAGCCAGAGAGGAAACTGGCAAGATGCCATCTGGGGTCGGTTAGCGAGCTCAGGGAGCCTAGAGGCAACATTGAACTTTGGACCTGAAGGGTCTTTGGTAACCAGCGTGCTCTGTGCTGTGGACTCCTGGCCCCGAATTCCCTCCTGAGCACCAGACCCATTCACATTCTGGATGTGACCTCCTAAGTCTCAAACGGAACTCCTCATTTTCTCCTCCCCTACTCCACTCCAAATGAACTTCGTCTGGATTATTCCATCTCTGGGAATTGCCCCACCTTGACCAGGCACCTGGACCAGAAACCTGGAAGCAGGGCCGGCTGGCTTCATGGGTGTGTGACCTCCGTAGTCATACAGGGCCCCACGCTTAGAAGGGTCCCACACTTGGTTTAATGCTCTGCTGTCACCATCTTTAGATTCTTAATAAGTTCTGAACAAAGGGTCCAGCCCTTTCATTCTGTACTGGGACCCTCAAATTATGTAGCCGGTCCTGCCAGGGAGACACAAGCCCCCCCCACCCCACTAACCCCGCTTGCCATCCAGTCAGACCTGTTCTGCCAACATGATCCTTTCAATATTTCTCCCTTCTGCCCCTCCTCACTGTTCCGGGCATACTGGAGCCAGCCTGTCTGGGTTGGAATTCTGGCTTTCCCATCTCCCAAATGTATGGTCTAGGCCAATTTGCTTAACCTGTTTGTACCTCAGTTTTCTCTTCTGTCAAATGGGGTTGATACTAGCAATTACCTGGTGGGGCTGTTAAAAGGATTAAAAAGCTTATCCCTGTAAAGGCTTAACACAGAGTCTGGCACATACAGTCTGGCTCAATAAATGGCAGCACGATGATGTCATCATTCCCCCCACTGTCACTCTTTTAGCCCCAGTGTCTTCATCCCTTGCCAAACGGAGAATAACAGCCTCAGAACTGAACTCCTATTAATCCGTCTTTGATGCTGCAGTCAGTGATTTTTCTAAGACACAAATCCAGCTCTTGACTCCTTTGCTTAATACCCTTCAGTTTTAAACTCCCAATTCTTTACATGGTTTATAAATCTCTGCAGGATCTGGCCTCCAGCCTCACCGCTCTTATCCTGGGACTTGGTACCTTGTGATGAAGAATTGGTTTTAATTTCCAGCACTCTCTCTGCTATCTTCAGCCCCAGTTCCTTTGTTTTTGTAGTCACTCTGCTTGGACAATCCTCCTCACATTTATTCACTGGCTTCCTTCTACCTGTCTTCTGGGTCTTATCTCAGGCATCACCTTCTCTGGGAAGCCTTCCCCGTCAGCCTCCCTCCTTTGGTGGAAATAGGCCCTCTTCCTCTGGGACCCCGGGGCCCCCTGCCTGTGCTTCTCCATCAAAGCTCTCACCCTGTATTATAAAGCCTTGTGTGTACGCCTTTATCCCCCTCTGGTTTGAAAACTCTTTCGGGGCATCAGCCACACTTTCCATTTCTGTGTCTGTTGCCTCTCCTAAGGTCAACTTCATAGTAAGTTCTCAAGAGTGTTGAATGAATAGTCTCCACTTTGGTGTGGGGACTGGAGCTGCAGTCCCAAGGTGGAGACTAAGGAAATCACCCTTTCCAGGGCAAGGGAAGCAGGAAGTTTCTGTTTGGGGTATTTCAAGTATCTTGCCTCCAAATACTTAAAACAACCCCTCTACCCCTAGTTTATTTTCCCTTTGCTGGCCTGCTGTTGCCGTGGAGCCAGAACGTGGAGAAAATATTCATATCCTTCTGGAGACTTTGGCTTTTGCTCAAATGTCTTGTGCAAAAAGAGAACTTATTGGCCGATGTAACTGAAAAGTGTAGGGGTATCTGGCTGCAGGCATAGCCTGGATCCAGGTGCTCAGTTGATATTAGGAATTCTTTTTTTCCCCTTTTTCTCTAGCTCTAAGCTCTTGTT